CCCCAAAACCCCAAAACCCCAAAACCCCATGATTAAAAATACTCGAAATAATTGAAAAATTACTAATAAATTGAGTTTTTAAATTTTATAATTTCTTTATTATTTATGATTAATCCTGCCCTCTTTAATTTATTGAGCCAGAAGCCTCACTTGAATCCTTTGAACAGATAGAGGAATCAAAACAATATTTTTAGCGAAAACCTATTTCAATAATTATAATCAGATGATGATAGTAGTTAATATGATTCAAATGATTTTGATTATGGATAAGAATATGAGGCAGACTCAACAAATGCTATCTTCAATGCGGCATCATTAAGTGCTAACAAGAATAATCAATTTATTCAAATTTATAACTTTGGAGATGATTAATGGTGCTCATTCTAGGAGAAGAGAGATAAACAAATAAAAATATTCTTAAGATATTTTTCTCAGTTGTTTGATAAGTTTGTAGAAATATCAGTCAGTCGAGAGCATTCTAGAGAGCCATTCTAAATTCCAGCAAAATAAAATATAAGCAGAAGATAACCTTTAGTAGTACCAGCGATACCAGAGTATAAATTCAACAACTTACCAAATCCAAATTAAATAGATCCATTATTACTCTAGCAGTTCATCCTAAATTAAAGTCTAGCTAATCAAAATTAGAACATAAATAATCAGCCTTATCTTTATAGTCTAGAACTTTAAATTGAGGAAAAAATCGGTATCAAGCTAAAAATTCACGATGAAATCAAGAATCTTAAAAAAAATAACAATAATGAGGTCTAGTCTATGACATTATCAAAAAACAAACTGACTGCAATACTTAATATACCATAATAAAGAACTTAATATTGGAATGATGAGTTAAATCAGCTTACCATAGTTCATAAATAGTTTGAAATCAATGATCAATCAAAGAAGACAGATTACTTCCATCTTCAAGAGTTCTTGGATTTGTATCCTTAACCTAAAGAAATTTTAATTGAAATTTAAAGTATAAGAAAATCAAAGAAGGGGAGGAATACGCATGAAATTTTCTAAATCTATGCATTTAGTAAAAATGCTAGTCTTATTGAAGATACATACCAAGCACTTGAAGATTTTTATGAAAGAGATTATAAGACATAGTAATAATTATTCTTGGATAAGAAGTATTTGGAAAAATAAATTGTTGCACTAAAGTATGAATACTTGAAGTAACATAAAACTATTGAAACATTTTTAAAGTAGCAAGGAATTAATGAGAAAGTAATTTACGGAGGAGATGATTATTCCATATAATGCAATGTCTCTGACAATCAGCTACTTTCCATCACTGATCCAATAAATAAAGTACTAAATACATTCTAAGTTTTCAAAATTCATATTCCTTGCGATTACATTTTCAAAACTAAATTCATTTTTTAAACTCTCAGCATCTATGATCAACTAAACAATAATAAGAAGATCATAATGAAGAGAGCAAATGATATCTGCTGCAATTAAATATAAAGATATAAAAGTTATAATGTCACTGCCGACTTTGATACAGATCAAAGCAGACAAGAGGAATATTTTATATTTGGAACTAATGTCATTGATTCTTGCGAACTAATACAAGGCTATTTTGATAGTATTGAAATAGTTTAAATAAACTACGAAAATTTTATTTCCAAAACCATTAGAGATAAGTTCAAAAGAGACATCAATAAGCTTTCTGAATAATATAGAGTCAATATAGACTTGATAAATGTTATACCTTGCCATATAAAAGTCATTTCTGATCAGAAATAACTGTTGGATAGAATAGAAGAGCAGATCAGAAAATTACTTGAAGAATATAATGAACAAGACTAATAAGAGGACAAAATAATAGAGTTAGATAATGATGCTTGGGTAATTTAAAGAATATTTGAAACAAGCAAAGATAGAGATTTCATAGCAAAGCTCAAGAAAACTCATGAAGATGTTGATATAGATTTCAAACTAACAAAATTCGTGATAAGCGGCCAACGATCTAAAACATAACTTGCTGGTAAAGATCTGTAGATTAAGCTGCTTAAACTGAAGAATATGAAAATTGAGGAATAGTTTTAAGATAAAAACTTATTGTGGGCCTATAGAAATATTGGTTAAAGGTCTCTTGAATAGACATACAAAGTCAAAACAAAGATTGAAATGAGAGAAAATTTCAACGACTCGAGTGTTAATGAATCATTTACCACTTTTGACCTTAACTCTAGCTTTGAAACCTAAGTTAACTATACTAAGCTTGAGGAAAAGTAATAAAGCATTAATTACTAATGGTCATATAAAGTGTTTTAAGGCGACTCAAATTATCATCAAAGGACTGACTAAACAGGTGATTGGTTTGATTTTGATTATGATCAGAATAATTAGATTGAATCTCATTTCTAAAAATGCAAGTAATTAGACACATATGGTCAGAAGTAGAAAATCATTGGAGATATGAATATGTAAAAGAATGGCTTTGAATATATGATATATGGATACAGTAAGGATCCTAGTTAGTGGTTCGAAGAGAATACTTAAACAGGTAAAAAGAGATAACTTCAAAGAAAAGATGTGCCACTTCATTTACAAAGGAAATTCGGGTAAAATAATACTCAATCATCAACTCTGAATCAGAAATATATAAACAAAAATTAAGCCGGTTGGAATACATAAAGGGTTAGTACAATTGATAGATAGTAGAACTTTGGATTAATAAGTTAAATTTAAGAAACTTTAGTTATAGAGGGTTTGTAAGAAGATATAGATAGATTGGTTGAAAATCTGAAAATTTATTTCAAAGATGATTCAAATCATAAAGAGATATTGCCTCTTTAGAACTTCTTTAATTAACTGGATAAAAAGTTGACCACTGAGCTTGATAATTATTTGTAGAATAAGATCCACAAGAAAAACTACAATTTCAATCATAAAGAGTTTGAAATTGAATTCATTGGATAAAAAGCTGCTCAATATAAACTAAAGATCATTAAAAAACTAATTGGCTTAAAGTCTCTGAAGTTTCCAGATTATTGGCAAGATAAATTTAAAATATTTACAACTTAAGACTCTGCTGTTTATTAAGTTGACAAAACCTCATCAGAATTTGCTAGTATTTAGTAAATTTTTACATCCTAAAAAAGAGTATTAGTAGATGTTTAAAGATTTTAAGATAAAGGCAAGTGGCAGATGTTTTAAAATGAACTTAAGTACATTAAGTAGAAAAATGGACAAGATCCATTGGTAACATATTTGTTCCATGGTACAAGGCTCAATAATCCACAGGATATCATTTAAAGTTAAGACGGATTAGACTTAAGATTTAGTAAATAAGGATATTTTGGAAAAGCTCTATACTTTACCCAAAATTTGTAGTATGTTTATGACTATGGCTTTTAAGACCAGTCTATAATTGGATTTAGAAATTAAGGAAATATTACTGTGGCTGTTAATAACAATTTGAATACAAGAAAAATTATCATGGCTAAAGTAATAATAGGTATTTCTTTTGATTCTGGCCACGATAGCTCACTAACACATACTCCACTTCTACCAGGAAATACTAGCAAAAGATATGATAGCATTTCTGGAAATGCATCAGGCACTCAAGTTTATATGATTTATAATAACAGACAGGCTTACTCAGAGTATATTATCACATTCTAATGAGAGCTTGCTGGAATTGAAAATATCTGTTTAAAAATTTAAAGTACCAACTTTAATATTTGCTCAAGAAGCGATATTTCCAAAATTGATTTATTCTCTAATAACATTTAATTTCTTATATGCTTTTCATCAGGGGTTTTGGGGTTTTGGGG